CATAAGAAGGCTGTTTGCATTAGTCATTCAATGATAAACTATATGGCAAAGTCTTTTCTTAATCACCTCCATAGGTGCATCCAAAGTCTTTCACAAGCATCTGTCCCATCTTTTTCTGATTTCAGCATGCTTTGCCATCATCGTTGAGTCCATTATTAGGATTTGAAATAGTCCAAATATAATCGTTTTTTTGGAATGATCTCAATAGGTTCCTTGTGAAATACCAGTGTAGGTCACATTAGCAATCATTTCACTGTGAGCTATGTCTCTCCTTTTGAGATAGTTCTTGGAGGTAGTCCTCACGATCACAGAACTTGTATAGTGTGCAGTCATAATTCCAATGCAGTTTTAAAACGACAGCTAGGGTTGATGTTATGATAATGCTGCAGATTGTAAGAAGGAGACACCATAACCAATTTTCTAGCATCCTTTTGCTTCCATCTTTGCATTTCTTTCTTACTGTATAAGATAATTCAGGTTCAGTCTGTTTTCTCCAGAGTCTTTCTTATAATGATGTTGATGATTCATTCCATGTTAACTGTGAATGTATCACGTCTGTCTGTTCATCCTTCTCCTTCACATTTGCAGGTTCAGATGTCAGATCATGATTCAGTCTGTTACGTGGCTATGATTCTGGTGGCATTTCTGTCGTCCTCTGTTTGATTTATCTTGTCATCTTTAACAGCATCCATTGTATCAGTCAGTGGTTCTGTGAAGGTCCTGTTAGTATTTAGCAGGTTGTAAAATATCAAAACTTACTGTTCTCTGTTGGCTCTGATTGTTCTCTGTAGTAAAAGTTCTCGGAGTCACCCTCTCCAGGACAAACTGTCCAACAGTAAGAAAAAGTTGGTGGTACAAGGCGAGGTGGGCTGGAAATAAAAATTCCCTACATTTCTTTAATAGAACCAGTGGTTCTAAGCTCTCCCTGGTGCAGAAATATGTTTGTCAGTGAAAAACATGTAACATTTCATATGGTGTCTCACCATTTGTATCATCGGGTATGTTGTAAATGCTCATCTGTCCCATAGGAATAAATAGATACCACTGTGTGGGGCAAGCAACTAGTTACTTAGTTAATAATCATTTAACCTCAGCATTTTCCCAGACCACAACCCCACTTCTTTGGGGGTGGTTGGCGCACTGAAATCCCAAAGTAACCCAAATGTGGTTGCCCAGTTTTAGGTTTCCTTTGCAGTAACTGCAGGACCACCATCCAAATGGATGGTCCTGGGATTATTAAATGCATACTAAGGAAGTGAGACTAGAAAACGTGGCATCAGAGGTTGCACTTCGCACAGGATATATCCAAGTAAACCTGGTACATGCATCAACACATACAAAAAGATATTTATAACCATGAGATGTTGGCAAACTTCCAATATATAGTAATTCAAAAAGTACATTAGATATTAATACTTCAATAAACAGTACATCAGTAATGTGGCAATAAGCAAACACTTATGATTACTAAACACATGAATTACAGTATTTCCCATACTGAACCACCAATATTCCTTTTCAGGAGTCAGAAGTATATTACCTCTCTCTATATGAGCTTGTCCTAGCCATGAAAAAGCTTTTAGGGGAAGTCTATCTTTCCTCTATAGGAAGAACAACCAACATATTACCTTCAATGGTTATTATGTAATTAACCCCTCTAAACGATAGGAGTATTTATGCGGATACCAGGTGGATAAGGTCTGGATATCCTTGCAAGCATAAATTCTGCATCATAACTGAGAGATAGGGTATGTTTAAAGCGTTGGTAGACACATTGCATCAAAGTGCCTGTTAATGACGAACTATATGAGGAGAGGGCTCATGCTTTGTTATAAGCATGTCCATACACGTATTACAATGCCAGGCTTTCAATTTGTTACCACAAAGCAAAATGCAGTTGTGGATATAA